GAGAAAATCATCACCATAAGATTTAAAATGAAATTGTGGAACCAAATTTTGATCAAGATGACTCAGAAGGATTAAAGCATGATTCAAGAGCAACTGGAAAGTGGTCCAGTTAGTTTATCTCACTTTTCACCCTACTTGCTTAGAATACATTCATCCTTCCCACAGAAAGCCAAGTCTAATCAAAATCACAGTGAAGATGTTAAAGGTGGTGGTGGGTGACCCATATATCAGTCTGCTCTTTGCTTCCTTACAAACATACTTTCTCATTCATTCTCAATCTAAGTTCAATTTGGGGTCAGGAGTCAAGTGGTTCAAAGCTTTTATTTTTGAGGGAAACTTTTGTCCTTCAATAATAAATCTGTCGATTATCTGCTCTCAAAATCCTTTATATGAGTTTCTCAACATTTTTGTTTTATTTTTTATAAAGGAAAACTCAGCTTTGTTAATGGTATATAGTTAATTTTCATAATCTGCTATGAAAAAAATAATTTACATAAAGTTCTCCTTTTGATGCTTAGTGATTGTCTTTTAACTTCTAACCAGTTGTTATTCATCTTACAAAATCAGTGATCCCCAGATTATATGCATTTTATTGATATTATTAGGTATCTATTTTCTGAGGAAAAAAATTTGTAATGAGATCTAGAGACCTGCTATTGAATTTGTCAAGGAATTCAGGAAACATTTGTAGAAGACTTTCAGGTCTTCAAATGTACCATACATAGAACCTTGTGGTTTTAGAAGAAGTCAGTAGCTTTTGGAAGCATGCTTCTAATAATTTTTAATATTCTGAAGGGTGCCACAGATTAAATTTTAAATATCATATTTTAATTGGTGGTCATTGAAGACTTGCCCTGGAGACTGAGATATTTTGTATAATTTACTCTTCTCAATTCTGCATCCTTCTATAACTTTCTCAGGTGTTACATTGAACCATTTTAAAAAAGTAATAGAATTTCAACATTTCATATAATTAAGACTAATATGCTAATTATGACTCTTTCATTCTTTGTTTGAAACGTATATCACAGTATACTTTTGTGTGGACCAAATTTGTTGGAAGAAAAGATGTCATCTATGGTAAGCAAGGCAAGACAGTGTTCAGTGAATTTGAGTATCATAGCAATTTGTGAAATACTCTATTTGCCAATTATATTTAGAATAACAATTTCAAGAGTACTAGGTAAAAGTGTAATTATTTCTATTATTACATTTTTAGAAGTACAAATTATAGTAATTATAGTCAATTTATAAAAAGTCATGTCAAAGCATTTTGGCCATGAGGCAATATTGATTTATTAATCTGATTTTTAAAAATAATACAATAATTAAAATATAGCATATTTTAACACTAATAGAAGTATGATTTATCAAACAGGCTCTTTCTCAGCATTTAAGAGCTGATAGGTCCATGCTAGGTGCTTTGCAGAGTTCAAAGGAAGTAAGAGACAAGTGTCCCTTTTTAAAATAAATGTATATCCATTAATGGAAATTACAAAAAAATACTGATTCCATGGGAAAAGATGATTTATAGTACAAATAAAAAAATATTCAAAAGGAAGACTGAATATATAAAACAAGGAAGTCAATACAGAATTCAAAGACTTCCTTGTGCTTAAACACTTCTAATTCATCCACTAATGTGATTTTTCCCACTTACTCCCTTAAAAAGATTTTTGAATGCTAGTGTTTCAGGCTCTGTTGTAGATGCTTTGGATATACCAGTGTTTCAAACTTATAAAGAGGACTTCCCTCCAGCACACTGAGGCAGGTAATAAATAGTGAAATGATAAATAAAAATGTATGGTATGATGGAAAGTGGTAAGTGCTAAGGAAAAGGGAGAAAAATGCAACAGGGGATGAAGGGCTGCAGGAGGGATATGGTTGCAGTTTTCATTGTGGTAGTCAGTTGGGAAGACGATTATATGACCAAAGGCAATAACTCTATTATTCGTTCCTAAAGAGCATAAAGAGTGATGTGCAAATATACATACCAATATATTTAGGAAATGAAACTAAGGGTCTTACGGAAGAACCACAAAAGTGAGCTAACTGAATGCAAGCATACAGTTAATCAGATTTTTAAAGATCAGGATCTTAAATGAAGCAGATATAACATGGGAGAGACACAGTGTTTCCTCAGAGAGAAAAAGACATGTGAAGTTAGGTTCCATGTCCCTTCCACTATAATTGAAGCTCCCTGAGGAGGAAATATTCCTTTTTTTCCCACACTAGGACCTATTGAATCTCTGAAATATATATGTGTATGTCATCAAAACTGGTTAAATGAACTGGCAAAAGGTCCTAAGCTAAGGTCTAGAATCTTGTCAAAGAGGAAGAGTAAGGAAGACAGTTTAGGTTCATAAGCATAAGTATACAAAATATAAAAAATCATGAAAGTCTATTAATTATCTGCCATCTTCCACTCTTGGAATATAACATAATTAAAGATAGGTATTATAGTGTTTATTGTATAATGGACATGTTTAAGTAATAGTTCCTTATTCTAACAAATGGAAGAAAAAAGAGTATACCAACTCATTTTCATTTACTGAACCAGGTTTCTCCAAATATTAAGTTGACTCCCAAAGAATATGACATTTATTTGGAAGTATGCTTCTTTAGACTGACCAGGACCACTATGTGTGCTTTATGCATCTTGATAAAATGCAATCCATGCTCAAGAAATGACAATCCTATGCATCACTTTTTATACTCAGAAGTGAATAATATATTAAAACAAAATATTTGATTTAAAAAATAAGTTTCCAAAATCACTGAAGGAAAATAGACAATTAACAGAGAAAACATATTTAAAGGGATACTTTTTGGAGAAGAATCATAACCAATATGTAGGATTAACTGAAACCTGAAATCTCTTGTAATTTACCTAGGGTAATCATATTTTTTAAATGTGATTTATTTATTTGACAGCTGACATGCTGGAGCAGAGAATAACAGGAGTGACAGCAACTGTACTTTAGACATCAAAAGAGGCAAGATGATCTTACCTACAGATGAATTAATCTAAAGGCAGTGAGTCATAAAAACTGAATATTGAGAGACTATTTAGAAAAGAAACAAAAATTAAAACATCAAGGTCAAAATCCTTACACAATTTTTCCAAACTCAGATTTTAACAAATATTGCGCCATCCAGTGGTTGTTTTCGAGTGACTTCTCTATCTCTCCTTTCTGTCCCTCTCTTTCTCTCTCTTAAAACCTGGGTTCCAATTTCCACCTTCATTATTTTGGGTAGCTCCAGGAAGGTTTACATTGTCTATAACTAGGAGAAATCTTGGGAGGGCAATTCAATTTGATTGCCCAATTTCATCATTGCAGAAAGAATGATGGCAGAGATGATAGAGTGCCTAGTATACAATGATTAAGTTCAGGCTCGACAACTAGGTTCACAAAAGGGCAATCAGGCTTGCTCCATCTGATTGCCAGACTGGAAATGAAAGAAAAGCAATGACATGATTACTCCATATTTGCCAGACCTCCAATATAGTGCAGCACACATATTAAGCAAAGGTGGTCCTCAGAATGATCACAGTGCATTTTAAAGAGGAATGTCACTGCTTAAGCAAATAAAAGAAGGCTCACAAGATCAAAGACAAAGGATGTTTCTGGAATCTGTTTTGCTTACAGAGAGGATGGGAAACAGCATGGAAAGTCACTCAGTGAGAGAAGAAAAGCAGGGAACTTGAGTAAGGAAACTGGGATAGTGTCTCTGCTGGATTTCTAGCCAATTTGGTGACCTTGGTCAGATTCCTGGGCTTCAGCTTTCTCACCTATGAAACAAAGGATGTGGATAGGCTGAGTGGTGTCCCTAAACCCAGGATATGGACAGAGGCAAGGAGTAGCAGTAGGGCCATCACGTACAAAAGAACCATAATTTGAATATTTATGAAAGCAAAATTAGCTAGTGATCAAATAATGGAGAGGAAGGGTGGCTAATGGAGAATGTAAATTCATCTTAACGCATTCTAAATGTAGTATAAAACTGGTAGAGATGATTCCAGAAGGAAAAGAATGAGGCATAGCATTCTGTCTTTAAATTTCCTGCACTGTAGTCTCCTTTCCTCTTCTCCATCATCACCTTATTTTTCTCCTGTACTTTCTGTTTCTAGTAACCATGGTGATGCTCCCTCCCAGCAGCCTTCTTCACAGCCAGCCCTTTTGGTACACTTGAATTTGTTCCATTCACTGATGCAGGCTGCTGAAAATGCTGTAAAAATTGATTTATTTGTTGACATTTTCCCCAACCTTTTTGTCCAGGAAATAAATGCAGGGAGTCATTCTACACTTACCCTCCCTGCATAAGGGGCACTGTATAACAGGGGTATTCCAACTGCTAATTTCAGCTGCTAACATAAAGGGGATACTGATTATACCAGAGATTCAATTCCCTGCCTTTGGCCCTCTGGGACTGTAAAGTCCCAGTGCTTGAGCTGGTTGCCACCTCTTTTTGCATTTGTATATAAATGGAATAAAATAGATTACCTACAGAAATGACACATTAACCTTGGTTTCCTAATCTTCTTTGTTTTTTGCTGCATTCTCCCTTGTAAGAAAAGTATTGCCGAGTATGTAATTATCACAGTTACAAAGGGATTGAATTTTCCACTAGAAAATATACGTAAATCTACAGATGTCTCTAATGAGCACAGTTGTTTATTTTAGAATATAAAAAAGGCAATATGGGACATGCTCAGTTTTTAAAATATGTAGTTATTTGCCAATGATAAAACATCAAAGAAATCTCTTATGTTATTAATGCAGATAGTAAAAATTCCCATAAGCTGTCATTTGGTCATGTCCAGTTTGTGTACCCTAACTTATTTGTAATCCTGTATGCTGGAAAACTCTGTTTAAACCCTGTGTGTGTGTGTGTGTGTGTGTGTGCGCGCGCGCGTTTGTGTGTGTGTGAGTGTGTGCGTGTGTATCTGGCATTAACACAAAGGAGACCAGATGATGACATTCATAGGCTTATAGACTCGACTCCTGGGGACACACTTGGATGGAGGCAATTAAAATGCCTGTCAGGCATTTGATACCAGAAGCCCCTATTGCAAACCGCTAAATCCTAAGCTAGGCGCTGCATCTTCTGTCAGTGAATGATGGCGGAGCCGGGTGGCTTGTCATCATTCTCGAAAATTCTGAGGCTAGTGAGCTCTCTCTCCCTCTCCCACTTGCCTTATTTTCCTTTTCGCCACTGCGGGGACTTTTTCTAATTTGCAGCTTCCTTTTCCCCGACACACACAGACAGGAGCTGGTGGCTTGCAGACTGCGTCTGTCTGGAGCTAGAGAGCCAGAGCTAGCCCGCAGAGATAATGCTCTGGGAGAAGGATTCTGCAGCAGTCCTCAAAGGCTAGACTTGCGTGGTATCGCTGCATAAGCGCTGGTAATGGATTGGGGCTTTAACATTTTGATTTTGTTCTATTTAAAACATTTTTTCAAAGGACCTACCTTATGTGATCTCGAAGTGAAATGCTTTAAAATTCATTACTGAGCTTCCTAAAAATTCAAGTACTGCGTTTTTTTGTGCTACAGATCTGAAGACATAGATTTATTATCTGGATAGAAAGAATGCATTTGCTTATTGGTGAGTTACAATTTTCAATATTTAGTTAACAAATCTTTATATGTATTGTTTTGTTTTGTTCTGTTTTGTTTTGGTAGATTCTTCAGCTTGTCTCTAACGGAGGAAACTGACTGGGAACTACTCATTCAGAAAATTAAAAGGTACCACATGTTTTGTTTGGTTGTTTAAATGAGGGACAACCAGGGAGGATTTCAAATGTTTTTATTTAAGTCCATCTTTCTGTGGCTGGTCTTTTATCGTTAAGCCTGTGTTGATAATTGTCATAGTATGTACGATTTCCTATGCAAAGAATGCCATTATCCAAGGCTGTTTTGCTCAAAAGATGTCTAAAGAATTATGTTTTTTGCCTGTGCTGCAAGTTGTTAGCAAACATCAGTATGCTTGGCTTATTTTTGGATTTTTATCATTGTCACAGCTAAATATATGTTGAAAATTCTGTATCATAATGAAAATTCAACCATTTGAATTTAAGAGACATGTACTAAGTAATAATTTTATCTTAGGGAATCCTGCTAGTAAGTGATATTTTAAAATGGCTAAGTGAAATGGCTTGCCCTACCCAGGCAGAATGAGCCCTAGAGACGAAAGCCCAGCCATGACTCAGTATTGTTGGGTTTTGTAAATAAAAAATTGTAACTTCTTCACTGAAGCTTTAGTCTTTAGCACAGGATATATTTAAAGGCCAAGGTTAGTTTTTTTAAAAAAAAGAACAACTGGTTTACATATGCTTTATTCAGCACTGACAGTATAAGAAAGTAGTCCTTCATCTTGCCATGAAAGCAGTTGAATCCATTGATCCTGGGCCATATGCCTTACATGAAAAATATTAATTTTCAAATACAGCATCAGGATGTCTGTTATTTGGAGATGGCAATCCCGGGTATTGCCTTTTCTTTAATTCTTTTAGATTACCTTTGACTTCAGTATACACTTATGTCAGTAAAACCTGTATTTGTAATTTGCCTTTAAAATAATGGAAGACATTTTTTTTCCTTGTTGAGAAGATCAATAACATCTTTTATCTTTCCTTGGCATTCAGACAGCATTCCCCTCATGACTATAAGTCCAAAATATTGTATTCAGTAAGGTTAGTTTTTTTCTAAATGTACTTTAAAAATGGCCAATGTCCAACAACTGATCCTGAAATATCAAAAGTATTGAGTGTGCACCTGTGAATGTGAATATTTGTAGCAGTTGAAGGAGACGAATGTGTTGTCCTTGTTTAATTTTGTCTGCAGTGTGTAATTATGAGAACCTTAATTTATTCATTCTACAAGCACTTATGAAGAGCCGTACTGCTGTGGGTAGTTACTGTGGGAGAGAGGGAAGGGCAGATGCCACTGGCACCACCCTTCCCGAGTGTGGGAAGCAGTACATATTTTTGAACAGGAGTATGAATTCATTAAAATAAGCCAGTGTGTTCTAAAAAAGGAAATTGCATTATTTCAGATATTGAACAAAATCTAGTTGACTAGTCTCAGAGATACATGAAATATATTGCATTTTTTCCTCAGAAATTGTACTCAGTGGAATCATGTATGAAATCTCCAAATAGGACTTTATATTCCACCTGGATATTCTAAAGCCCTTGGGAAGATTCTCCCTTTAGGGTTCACTCAGAGTAAGTGATACATTTCATATTTGGTAAAAAAAAAAAATCTGATATTTTCCCACCTGACTTAATCCATATGTTACATATCTCATGTGAGAATCTATTTCCTAATTTTTAGGATCATTTAGCAACTCATTATATTAATTTTGAACTTTGGGGTATTTACAGGAGTTGGAAAAGAATGAAGTTATTATTTAGCCACTAAAAAAAAAGATATATTCAGTATCTTGTCAATAGGAACTAATCAGTTCTGTGGCAGTATATCTGGGTACTGGAAAAAAATGACGTATTACCTTACCAAAAGTCTCTCGGTACCTAAATTTTCTAGGACCATTTTACAATTTACCCAGGGGTGTGTTGACAGATTTTGCATAATAAACCAGAATTTATTCAAATAGTCTGTTACATCATCAAATCAGAACAGAATTCAACTATTGAACTCTTAGAGGGTCAGGGATCAGAATCACGGATTTTCTAATCAATGTCATCTTCACATTAGTTAATTCCTTTACTGATTTTTCTCACTCATGTATTCAGCACATAGAATAGTGCCTGGACCACAGTAGGCATTCAGTAAATATTTATTTAATTATTTGATGGATGAATGAATTCATCAGCATTTTCCCCAATAACTTTTTTGTTCTTATTTTTCATGAGATTACACACTTGTAAAACAGACATTTGGTACCTTTTTTAAAAGTTACTCAACATATACATTATATATTTCTAATTACTAATGATTAACTAGATAATTATTACTGGGTAGAAAATCAGGCAAACCATGTGTAGAAATTCCTCCAGGCTATATGGAAAAGGATTTTTCCAGTTTTAGGTTAAGATGGAAAGAATTTTTGAAATGTCCCTTTTCACTTTCATCAGCTAGGGGAAAGATGCCAAACTGCAGCATGAGTTTTGTTTAATGGATGCTTCCTAACTACTACTCCCAATCTTGACATTGTTTATTGGTCTTCATGTCTTCAGCCAAGATTTTGCTGCAGCAGAGGGGAGGAGGCCTCTCTCTCTCTCTTTCTCTTTCTTTCACTGTAATACTAGAAATGATGTCATAGTTTTCATAAATGCTTTGTTCCTCATTATGAACTATTAAGTGTGGCATCATTTCATATATATATATATATATATATATATACACACACACACAAGTATACTTATTTATAATGTGTAAAGAAATTTCTAGAATCATAATAGCTTTAGAGGATGCTATTCTTTCTTGTTGTCATTTATTTTTATTAATAAAGCTATAGGTTTTTGTTACTAACTATGTACCAGAGAATATTCTAAGCCCTTAACAATCATTATCTTATTTTAACTTACCCTACAATCTTGAGATGTGGGTATGGTCTCCATTTTACAGATGCATGAACTGAGATTTCAATTGGTCAGTCGAAACAAATCTGGCCCACAGTCCTTTGTTTTAATTACAACATACTACATTTTTTTCAAGTAGGTTTTTTATGTTTATATTCATTGTTTTAGTGTCTTATTTATGCACATGATATATATTTTATTGAAATAAGGTTAAAATGGTATGCTTGTAGATTCTTATTTTCATTATGCATAATGTAGGAGTAACTGTATCTTCTAATTTGCAACTGTCATAGTCAAATTCTGGTGTATCTTATATTTTAATGTATATTTTATATTGAATCTGAAGAAGTTTATTCTTTTAGGAGAAATGTCAGGTATTAATTAGGAAGTTTTAAAACAAATGAATTCATAAAGCATCCCTTTTGTCATTAGGATGATGTCGTATTACCGAATTGCATAATCTAAGAAAATTCAGGTGCTAACTGGCATGACTAATGCTGTATCTTGCAAAAGTTTTTAAAAATTGACATAATGGGAGAAGTTTCAAGTGGCTGAAATAAACAAGCAGGGAACATCATCCTATACAATGTGAAAATACCCATTAGAACTTAAATACACCCTACTTAACCCAGAAAAATAACTGAGGGTACTAACAACTACACAAACATGTATTAAGATACTCTATTTGCAAAAAGTATATATAATGGAACACTCTCAGAGCTCAGCTGGGTGCAGCAGAATAAGCCAAGCAAGTAGCACCAAGGTCCATTGGTACGATAAAAGTCACATGAATAATTTCTTATAGGACTTCATTTCAGGGCAGGATTACCAACAATTGGGAAGGGGCTCAACAGAAAATATTTCATGGAAGATGAGCCTTTTCAGGTGGAACTTAGGGATGAATAAAATTATTCAAGGGGAACATAGTACGTAGAGAAGCTCCAGGAAGAACAAACAACATGAGCAAAAGAACCAAAGGAAGTGAACGTGCATGGGAAGTGTTGACTGATCTCATTTGTATTCCAGAGTGCAGGGCAGAAGAAAGGCAGCCTCAGAAGATAAGGATGGAAAGGTGTATGAATACTGTTAGGTTGTGCCATATGAAATGGCTAATGGCCTACTCTTTTTGAGCTACAAAATAAAAATTTCATTTCATTCAAACTAATGCATTGGAAAAGGACCTTAAATGTCAAATTTAGGAACATTTTCAGATTCAACGGGAAGCTATTGACTGTATTTTCAGTAGGAGCCCACAGTGGCCTAAACTGTGTTTCAGATGACTTATTTTATAGCTCTGGGTGAGAGACAGTTTTGTGTGAGAGCATGTTGAAGAAAGCATCACTGTGGAACCTGTCTTAGGATAATCTGAGGGGGAAAAAGGGCTCAAAAAGGGTGTTGAAAGGGGGCATAAAAAAGAGGTCATGAAAATGAAAGATGTTTGTGAGCTCAAACTCACTCTACAGCAACTGCTTGATTGGTAGGAGGAATGAAAAGCATAATGACTCAGTGGTGACTGTAACATTTGATTTTGTAACTGGAAAAATAGGGGAGAAAGGTAGCTAAAAGCTGCTGGAGGAAAAGAGGCCCTCTTGCTCTTAGTATTCCTGGTCTCCAGCAGACTGCCTAGGATGTAGTAGACAGTCAATAAATGCCAACTGAATGGGTGAGAGAGTGAAAAAAAGTGAAGAGCAAGTTTAGGCCACGATGGCTGGATTTGTAGGTGGACTGTGGAACACATAGACTCAAAGCTAAGAGAAGAAATTAGGCATAAGGGATATGGATGACGTTATCAAGAAAGATGAGAAGAGGACCAGTGAGAAGATTTTTGGCAGCACCCACATTTAGGATGCAGAATGAAGGACAGGAATTGACAAAGTTAAAGAAAGAGTTTTATTTTTAAGCCAATAAAAAGGAGGGACAGGTCAAGTAATAGAAAACAAGGCTGAAACTCAGATTCTCTAGAAACAAAAATCAAAATAAATAAAAGACTGCTGAATTAATTATTTATTTCACTAATGTCTTCTGTTATTAAAACAGTATATCCACATTTTATAAAATTTAGAAGAGTTTAAGGAAGGAAATAATAGCCATCCATTACACAATTCAGAAATTGTGGTTAACACTTTATGAACCATTTAGCTTATTTTCTTTCATCTATTGCTTTTAAATTTACATAATCAAGATCAGAACAATGCAATTTGAATTCTGCTTTTTTTTCCACCCAGAGTATCTTAAACATCTCATACATTTTGCCACCTACATAATGTTCTATCCTGTAGGTGTTGGACATGTTTATTCCCCACTGTTCCCATTTTTTCACTATTATATTGCTACAATGAAATAGTTTGTACATTACTCTTATAAGGTATTTCAAATTATTTCCAATGGGTATTTCCTAACAACAGAGTCATTGCATTCAATATTGCCAGATTTCTGGACAGATACAATGTGGTGGTTTCAAAATCAGCCTGAGCTTTTAAAGGGAATCTAAGATTCCGTTAGCACCTGCATGTGCCAGCGTCTGTGACAGGCACTTTAATAATTATCACAGTGATTCTGATGTCGATTCTATTATTTCCATTTAACAAATGAAGGAATGACTAGAGACTCAGAGAGTTGCACAAATTTTAGGAGTAGTTTTGAGTCTGGGACTGACTCCAGACAAGTCAGACTCTGGGGATAGAAGCAAGATATTGAGAAATGAATGAGTAAATAAGGATCTGAAAGCAATAGGAAAACACTTTTATAGGTCCAGTTTTAAAAGGAAAGAGAGAATACAGATAAGGCAAAAAGAGCAGTGACTACAGCAATAAGGGTTTTTCTCTTATTAACATGGGATATCCTAAGCCAAAGGGAGGGGTCAGAAAGAAAGTGGTGCTATGTGTATAATAAGAAGGATAAATTGATAGAACAAAATCCTAATGGAAAGGAGTTAAAGAGCACAGACAAGGTTTGGGCTTGGAAAGCAAAATTCTTCTTCTCTGTAGATAAAAGCAAGAGGAGAAAAGAGAGTGAAACCTTTTTTTAGTGTTAAGAAGAATATGGGGGACCCTCCATATCATCTGGACTTTATTTCAGACTGGAGGAAAATTCATTTATTCCTTCAGTGAATATTTATTGAACACCAGTTTCATGTCCTTCCCCTGACCTAATGGAACTTTCCTTCTAGAGGGGAAAGCAATCAGTAGATAAACAAAATTAAAAGGTGACTGAGGTAGCTATGCAGAGACTAGATGATAAGGTGATAAGAGCTTCTCCAACTTTAAAGCAGAAATGAATCAACTGGGGATCTTACTCAAATGTAGATTCAGAATCAGCAGGTCTGAGGAGGGGCCTGAAATCCACATTTAACAAAGCTCCCTGTTGATGATGCTGCTGGACCACAGATCATGCCTTGGTTAGCAGGAAGTTAGGTAGCAAGTATCCAGGCAAGGAAACTTAGAAATGTCTGGAGAAGTTGTTACAAGGAAGTCAAATGTGAGCCCTTCTCTTGGGGGTGCAGAACTGCATACTTCTACCCCTCTTTGATGGTGAGAGAAAATCATCTCTATACCTCTGAGCTTTTTCAGTTCCAACCAGTTGTTTTATGAAAGACCCACTAAACCAGCCCTAAGGAGTTACTGGCATTTCATATTTTCTGCCCATGCACAATGCTTATTATGCCAGATAATAAATTCTTGTGG